ACCTCTAGTAGAACTGATCAGCGATGGAAATTGTCCTGTAGAAAATTCCAATATTGTGACAATTGATTTTTTGCCCTAAATTGGGATGAAATATTGAAATATTGAAACTTTTGACAAAATAAAGTGTTCTGAAACTTTTTTCCCAGAAATGTCAGAATGTTTAGTTTTGACATTTTTTTATCGAAATTAAAAGTTTTGAAATTCCAGACTTGAAACATTTCAGTTCAATTTTCTTGATGGAACATTCTGCCAAAATCAATCTGTCATTGAAAAGAATAAAACATTATATACTCTTAATTCTACCCTGTATTAAATTGCAACATATTGCCAATCAACTTTCTATTTAATTATACATATATATATAAAATGTAACTTACTAGAGCTGGTCAAATAGCAGAAAAAGTATTTGCTGAATATATTTAATGAGTATTAGCTGAGCAATATATTTGAGGAATAGTAGTATTTGGTCAGCTATAATGCTATTTAAATCCACAGATGTCTTAACTGAATAAAATTATTCCACAAATAACAGTAAAATTGCTTAAATAATGCATTTTACAAGTACTATTCAATCAACCTTGCTTATTACATACAGTACCTTGCATAAATTTTCTAACATTTCCCTTTGCTCCACGTCTCTTTCCTATAGTAGCCGATCATGGTGCATCTTTTCCTGAGTTGTCTTTTGTTTCCTTCTTCCTCCTCTCTCTCATATTTTATTCCCTTTCCCACCTTAGATTTTCTCTTTACCTCCTTTATAATTTGTATCTCCTTGCTTCTCCTGTTTTCCCTACACTCTCTCCTTCCAAGATCACTCAACTTCTCTCTTTTTAATTTACCTCATCCATCTTTCCCTCTCTCTGTCCCACTTACCCCCATCCACGGACCCACATGTAGGACTTGGAAGTGTTACCAGACTCCCAATCACGAGTGGACAAAACCAGTAGCCACATACTGCTATAAAAAGATGGGAAAGGTATTCCTTTGTTCAGGGACAACTCTAAGCCACTCAGCTTTCTGGCTGCTGAAGGTGGGGGCGGAGGAAGTATTTTTGCTACTCTACTATTCCCCAGACTTCAGTTGTGAGCCCTCCTGCCCAGAGAATAGCTCCATTGCCTGCCTCTGCTGTGGTTACAGTTTTCCCAATCCTCAGTGGAATGAAAGTGAGCTGACGCGTGTTAGTTTTACTGTCACCTACAGAGATTTGGAAGACAGCAGTGAAAATTCAGAAGAATCTGCTCAGTTTTTACTCTGCTGCAGTTTATCGCACTCCTGAGCAGGACAGCAGAGCACTGGCATGGTGTTTGCTCACCTAGGAAATCAGCACTGCATCTGTTTACACTCCGTTCACATTTGGAAGGTTTCCTTCACAGCCAGACTGGTTAGGGACTAATTTTCTTTTAAAATGAAAGCTTCAATTCTGCAGAGGGAGATGCACTCACTCGGCACAGTTTCCAACCTATAGCAGGTGAGCGGACTTTTCAGGCCCTATTCTTTCATGCTGCCTGCTTATGCCTGAATCAGCCTCTCTTATATGCACCTCCTGCACAACCATGTAATTGCCACTCAGGCAGGCCTAACAAATTGTAACATCAACTATGCAGATTATAAACTCTTTAGGGTAGGGGGCTTGGATTATGAGCTTCTTGGGGTAATGGGGTCTTATCTTCCTGTCTGTAAAGTATCACACACACCTTTGTTGCTATATAAAGAATAATACACTTCCTATCGAAACATTTCTTTTTCTACATTTCACTCAGAAGCTCTTCACCATATGTATATTTTTGATGAGTTGCACATGCTGCTATGTCTACAGTCAGTGACCCGACTCAGCGTAAATCTTCTTGTTCAGATAACAAGGCAACACAGAAACAGGAAAAAAAACACACGTCACAGAAAATCTGGAAGACATCCCAAAAAAACCCACTAGACACCATAGAGCCATATGCTTCCCTTAATCATAGATAGCTGCAAAAAGGGAAAACTCTCAAAAATATCACTGTACAAATTAGCTCTGACAATTAATACACATCAGGCCAACCAGTCATGACAGAAATGTTTGTTGTAACTGGCAGTCAGTGTGAATAGAATTACCCTATGAAAACCTTTTTTTTTTAAAATAAAAACTGTGTCAAATATAGTGAGGAAGCACAGTATCGCTGAACTTACAGCTGTATCTGCAATTCTTATGCTTTTTATATATATGACAAGTGCTCTTAAAAACATTGTGCCGGTGTTGTACAAATTCACAGAATGAATTATCTTTGTCCTGAAGAATCATTGAATTGTAGGACTGGAAAGGTTCTCAAGATGTTATGTAGCCCTGTCCCCTGCACTCATGGCAGCACTAAGTATTCTCTTACAAACTAAATAGAGAAAGGAAAAGACTGAAGGAAAGTGGTACAACATACAGAGAAAGTCAGCAGTAAAGCCAGCTGGTCATTATGAGCCAATGGGGTTCAGCACTTTCCAAAAATCAGGTTCCTTTAATGTGTCTCAAGTTGGGTACCCAAAAATTGAGGCACTCAAAATGATTATGTCTGAAAATGAAAGTTAATACATTTAATAGATATAAGCAAAATGGTTTGAAAATATCACTGGAGACCAAGAGATACTTTTGCACCTAGAAAAAATATATCAACCACAGTCTGATATGTTTGTATGTAGAGCTGGGAAAAACTTTTTGGTTTGCTGACAGTTCTGCCAGGAAAAAAAATTGGTTTGGGTCAAAGCAAATTTGAAAATTAAGAAAAATTTCAACAAAAAGAACAAGGAGTACTTGTGGCATCTTAGAGACTAACAAATTTATTTGAGCATAAGCTTTTGTGGGCTAAAACCCACTTCATCGGATGCATGCAGTGGAAAATACAATAGGAAGAGATATATATATATATATACACACACATACAGAGAACATGAAAAAATGAGTGTTGCCATACCAACTATAATGAGAGTAATCAGTTAAGGTGAGCTATTATCAGCAGGAGAAAAAAAACTTTTGTGGCTGTAATCAGGATGACCCATTTCCAACAGTTGACAAGAAGGTGTGAGTAACAGTAGGGGGGAAAAATAAGCATGGGGAAATAGTTTTACTTTGTATAATGACCCATGCGCTCTCAGTCTTTATTCATGCCTAATTTAATGGTGTCCAGTTTGCAAATTAATTCCAATTCAGCAGTTTCTCATTGGAGTCTGTTTTTGAAGTGTTTTTGTTGTAGTATTGCGACTTTTAGGTCTGTAATTGAGTGACCAGGGAGATTGAAGTGTTCTCCGACTGGTTTTTGAATGTTATCATCTTGATGTCTGATGTGTCCGTTTATTCTTTTACATAGAGACTGTCCGATTTGGCCAATATACATGGCAGAGGGGCATTGCTGGCACATGATGGCCTGCATTCACCTGCACATCTACCAATGTGATATATGCCATCATGTGCTAGCAATACCCCTCTGCTATGTACATTGGCCAACGTACAGTATTTTGTATTTGTCAACATTTAAATTTCATCTGTCATTTTGTTGCCCAGTCACCCACAGTTTTGCGATATTCCTTTGTAACATTTTGCAGTCTGCTTTGGACTTAACTATCTTGAGTGATTTTGTATATTCTGCAGACTTTGCCACCACACTGTTTTAGCCCTTTTTTCTAGATCATTTTTGAATATATTGAACAGATCTGGTCCCAGTACAGATCCTTGGGGGGGACCTTTCTATTTACCTCTCTCCACTGTGAAAACTGATCATTGATTCTTACCCTTTTTTTCCTATCTTTTGACCAGTTACTGATTCATGACAGGACCTTCTCTTTTATCCCATGACGGCTTATTCTACTTAAGAGTCTTTGATAAGGGACCTTGTCAAAGGCTTTCTGAAAGTCCAAGTACACTGTATCACCCTGGTCCATGTTTTGTTGACACCTTCAAAGAATTCTAATAGATTGGTGACGTATGATTTCCCTTTACAAAAGCCATGTTGTCTCTTCCCCAACAAATCATGTTCATCTATGTGTCTGATAATTCTGTTTTTTAATATAGTTTCAAACAATTTGCCTGCTACTGAAGTTAGGCTTACTGGCCTGTAATTGCCAGAATTGGCTCTGTAGTCCCTTTTAAAAATTGGTACAACATTAGTTACCTTTCAGACATAGAGGCTGATTTAGGTGATGGTTTACATACCACAGTAAGGAGTTCTGCAATTTCATATCTGAATTCCTTCAGAACTCTTGGGTGAATACCATCTGGTCCTGTGACTTACTCCTGTTTAATTTTATCAATTTGTTCCAAACCCTCCTCTTATTGATACCTTAAGCTGAGACAGTTCTTTAGATTTGTCACCTAAAAAGAATGGCTCAGGTGTGGGAATCTCCCCCACATCCTCTGCAGTGAAGACTGATTCAAATTCATTTAACGTCTCTGCAACGGCCTTGTCCTGAGTGCTCCTTTAGCACCTTGATCCTCCAGTGGCTCCACTGACTAGTTAATAGGCTTCCTGCTTCTGATGTACTAAAAAAAAAAATATTGCTGTTAGTTTGTGTCTTTCTCTAGTTGCTTTTCAAAGTCGTCTTAGCCTGCCTTATAATACTTTACATTTGACTTGCCAGAGTTTATGCTCCTTTCCATTTTCCTCCCTCGGATTTTACTTCCAATTTTAAAAGGATGCTTCTAATCACCTCTTTTACTCTGCTGTTTAGCCATGGTGGCAGTTTTTTGGTCCTCTTTTTTTACATTTGGGGTATACATTTAGTTTGATCCTCTAGTACGGTGGCTTTTAAATAGTCTTCATGCAGTTTGCAGGCATTTCACCTTTTGGCTGTTCCTTTTAATAGCTTCATGTTTGTGTAGTTCCCCCTTTTGAAGTTAAATGCTACTGTTGCTGGTTTCTTTGGTGTCCCCCCCCCCCCCAAGGATGTTACATTTAATTACATTATGGTCACGACTACTGAGCATTTCAGCTCTTGGACCAGATCCTGTGCTATCAAGAATTACCTCTCCTCTCTTGTAGGTTCTAGGATGATCTGCTCCATGAAGCTGTTATTTATGGTGTCTGGAAATTTTATCTCTGCATCTCTTCCTGAGGTGATGCATACCTAATCACCAACAAGTGTCACCACCCTCATTTGCTATCCTCTTTATTTTTCAAGCATGGAATTTCTGTCCACAGAGATGCTATAGTAGAGGGCTGCAGTCTCTACTTGGTAAAGGTTCCTAGTATATTACATGGATAAAGTGGGCTAAAGATGTTGTATAGCAAAAATAGTAAAAGGAAATCAAAATATTGCATTAAAATGTTTGTTTATATTGACAAATATAATTTATTTTTAGTATTAAATTCACAATGTTCGTGTGTCATTTACTTTGTTAATTTAACTAATTCTTTGTAAATTCAGAGCATGTTAGTAATCTGCTCTTAGATCTTGGCTAAAAAGTGGGATATATGATTATTTTTCTGAAAGAATTGTTGAGCTTATGCTTGCCACTTAATTATTTTGCCCTGCTACCCTAAGTGACTTCCATCTGAGGATCTCAAAGCACTTTACAAACTTCACAGCATGCTTGTGAAGTAGGTATTATCCCTGTTTTATGGAGGATTGTTAGAGACTAATGGGCTGATTTCAGAGATGCTGTGCATCCAACCACTTGCAGCCGAAGTCAATGAAAACTGTGGGTGACGGATACCTCTGAAAAACCAGACCTTAAGTGATTTGCTGTTGATCACAAAGAAAGCTGTGGCAGACATGAGAAAAGAATCTGTCTTCTGACTCCCAGTCTATTTTGTTAGTATGAAGTAAAATTAGCAAAGTTCTACTGTATTTTATAGCTGCTTTTTTCTACTCTGTCCCTTATATAACTATCAAGATGACGAGTGCCTCCTTAGCTGTAACTAATACAAATCTAAACTAAATATTTGTTTTGTATTGTAGATTATTCTGAAAAGCAACTCTAAGTTCCTCTCTTCAGTACTAACTTGTAGTGTCTCTTGTGATCAAGTATTCATGGATAGCTTGTTCCAGCAAATGTAAGTCCACATTTAGATCTGAGTTCTGAAGCTGGAAGTGAAATACACAGTGAGCACAAGTTTGTAAACTTAGTGTTTGACTAACTGCTAAATCATTAAGTATATTTAATATATCCTTGGATTTGCCTTTGTAATAAATGGGTTCTTGTTAGATAATTGATTCCTGAGACATCAGGTTGTTAAGCCCAATTTGGTTTATTCAAGTCAGATTGTCCTGACCAAAGAAAATGTCAGCACAGCAGAGAAAGGCAATTACTTACCAACCTCTGGGGCTACCTGGCTATGTACTTGCACTGGGCCAAATTTACAGGTCTTTATGCCCCCCTCCCTCCTTGTTTATTTTATTTTATATTAAATTTGCAGCTAACTCCGTCAGGTATTATTGTTTGCAGTGTTGTTGTAGCTGTGCTGGTCCCAGAATATGAATGAGACAAGGAGGCTGAGGTTATATCTTTGATTGGACCATTTATTTTATTGTTGTTGGAAGAGAAAAGCTTTTGAGCGTCAGAGAGCTCTTCTTCAGGACCTGCTCGAAAGCTTTTCTCTTCCACCAACAGAAGTTGATCCAATAAAAGATTGGATCCACCTTGTCTCTCTAAATTTTTATTGTCCACTTACTATCAAATGTCTACCTTGCTGTTAGTTGACGAAATAGTTACATACAGTACACTCCAAATTTCCAGAGTACAAAAGGTCACATGAGTTTTGGCCAACAGAGACAGTTTTTCTTAATTAACTATTTTCCTTTTTGCAGTTACACTTTATGCTTTTGATGACAATTTTATACCAATTTGTTACTAAGATATATATGCTTGTAGTCAGCTCTGTTTAAGCAGTTGCAACAATAAGTTTGCAAAGCTGATTAGTTTTAGATTAAAGCTGTCAAGTAAAAAAATCACGCAATTAATTGCGTGATTAATTGCACTGTTAAATAATAGAATACCATTTATTTAAATATTTTTGGATGTTTTCTACATTTTCAAATATGGTTATTTCAATTACAATACAGAATTGAAAGTGTACTGTGCTCACTTTTGTTTTTGAGTACAAGTGTTTGCACTGTAAAAAACCAAAAATAGTATTTTTCAGTTCACCTAATACAAGTACGTAGTGCAAGCTCTTTATCATGAAAGTTGAACTTACAAATGTAGAATTATGTTGAAAAAAACTGCATTCAGAAATAAAACAATGTAAAATTTCAGAGTCTGCAAGTCCACTCAGTTCTACTTCTTGTTCAGCCATTCGCTCAGACAAACAAGTTTGTTTATGTTTGCAGGAGATAACGCTGCCCGCTTCTTGTTTACAATGTCACCTGAAAGCGAGAACAGGTGTTCTCATCGCACTGTTGTAGCCGGCATCGCAAGATATTTACGCGCTAGATGCACTTAAGATTCATGTGTCCCTTCATGCTTCAACCACCATTCCACAGGACATGCATCCATACTAATGACAGGTTCTGCTCGATAACAATCCAAAGCAGTGCGGACCGACACACGTTCACTTTCATCGTCTGAGTCAGATGCCACCAGCAGAAGGTTGATTTTCTTTTTTGGTGGTTCGGGTTCTGTAGTTTCTGCATAGGAGTGTTGCTCTTTTAAGACTTCTGAAATCTCTCAGATTTTGGAAGGCACTTCAGATTCTTAAATTTTGGGTCGAATGCTGTAGCTATTTTTAGAAACCTCACATTGGTACCTTCTTCGCGTTTTGTCAAATCTGCAGTGAAACTGTTCTTAAAATGAACAACGTGTTGGGTCATCATCCGAGACTGCTTTACAATGAAATATATGGCAGAATGCTAGTAAAACAGAGCAGGGGACATACAATTCTCCCTCAAGGAGTTCATTCACAAATTTCATTAACACGTTATTTTTTTAACAAGCGTCATCAGCAGGGAAGCATGTTTTCTGGAATGGTGGCCAAAGCATGAAGGGGCATACGAATGGTTAGCATATCTGGCCCGTAAATACCTTGCATTGCTCCAGCTACAAAAGTGCCATGCAAATGCCTGTTCTCACTTTCTGGTGACATTGTAAATAAGAATGTAAATGTAACCGAACTTGTTTGTCTGAGTGACTGGCTGAACAAGAAGTAGGACTGAGTGGACTTGTAGGCGCTGACGTTTTACATTGTTTTGGTTTTGAGTGCAGTTATGTAACAAAAAAATCTACATTTGTAAGTTGCACTTTCACAACAAAGATTGCACTACACTACTTGTATGAGGTGAATTGAAAAATTTTTTTTTTTATCATTTTTACAGTGCAAATATTTGTAACAAAAAATACTTTGATTTCAATTACAACACAGAATGCAATATATGTATATGAAAATGTAGGAAAACATCCAAAATATTTAATAAATTTCAATTGGTATTCTATTGTTTAACAGTGCGATTAAAACTGCGATTTTTTTAATTGTGATTGATTTTTGAGTTAATCGCGCGAGTTAACTGCAATTAATCAACAGCCCTACTTTAGATATATTTTTCCCCTCTATAAGCAATGTAAAATGTTTTTGCTGACATTTATTAGCAGCTTTTTAGCCTAACTTCACAAAGCTTCATAGGAGTCTTGATTAACAATTCTTTAGTATCACATAGAGCTTTAGGACTGTGTGTTAAAACCCTCCTCCTCACTGTAATAACATCTTGTCACTGTAATAGTTTATTATGACAACACCTTTACCTCATTAATCTTTGGTGTGATTTGAAATGTTCGTTTAGTAGCTCCAGTTAATACAAATAATAGTGCAAAAGCAAAAAAACTGCCTTAAGGTAAGTGACAAAACAGAATTAATACAGTATAATAATATTAACACAAGAAAATTGTATCTTTAACTGCATGGAAATTATCGATACTTCAGGATTACCATTTTGAATTAGACTTTCAATTGTTCCTTGGACTGGGTCATACTCTTACTAATTAAATAACATGAGTATTCTTTTTATCTTATAACATCTTAAAATTTAGAATTAAAGGATTTATGTGGACCTTGAATTGGGGAACATATTGGTCAAGATTTGTTTCTTTTGAAGTACTATCAATTGTGGTTTCTTTTTTCCAAATTGAGACAGTAGTAATAACTGTGCTCAATGGTAGTTTTTCCTAGAGTTGTAAAACGGAAGTTGTTAATAACTGGACATGTTAGAAAGCCATATTGGTAGCTTTTGCGATTAGGTGCCACACAGTCGTGTTCCCTTCATATTACAGGTTATCCTCACAGCTAGATTATGCTATTTGGTGAGTCAGGCAAGACACAGTAGTGGCTAACTCATTGATCTTGTTGGACTCTTCATCTAGTCAAGCATATCCACAGACTGGAATCACGATGCCAATCACATCACGCTTAGATATATACAAATGTTCCTTAACAGAGCAACAGGCTGTTGGAGGGACTCTTCAAATCCTGGATTCATCACAATATACAAAATATTCCAGTATATGCAGGAGTTCCTTATTAACACTTCCTTCCAGGTAACCTATTGAGTGGACAGCTGCCAACCTAACAAATACTTATCCGGAAGGATTAAACATGGGCAAATACAAAATAGAATAAATATATAGCAGACTGGCCATGGAAATACAGTTAATTTTACATCATCGTCATTAAGATGTGGGGTTATTGATCCCAAATTACTCAAGAAACTGGTATTTTGGATATTTGAAATAGCAACTGAGTTATTTTAGAACAGCATTTCTCCAATGCAACCACCAGTGGAGTTTTTTGTGGCTATGACAGCCTCCAAAGAATGGGCGGAGATTGGTGGGGGCAGCAGCCCCTCCCTGCAGCACCCAGCTGTTGCTCCTGAATAGCTGTTACCAATGGCAGTGAAATGTGCCGCCTTGGTGTTTGCAGCATTCGGTCACCAGGGTCCTCTCCAAACTAAATAACTGAATTAGACATCAGTACATTGTTAGGATTTAAATCCTATAATTTAGATAATAATTTAAATTTAAATTTAAATCCTATAATTTAAATCCTATAATTTAGATCAATTTAGATCAGCAGCCCCTCCCTGCAGCACCCAGCTGTTGCTCCTGAATAGCTGTTACCAATGGCAGTGAAATGTGCCGCCTTGGTGGCTGCAGCATTCGGTCACCAGGGTCCTCTCCAAACTAAATAACTGAATTAGACATCAGTACATTGTTAGGATTTAAATCCTATAATTTAGATCAATTATAAATTTTAGGGTAAAACTTTGTTTTAAACCTGCTTAACAATAGCATAATTAAAGAGAAGAAAGAAAATAAGGAAGAATAAACCAGTGGTTAGCTATTAAAGAAATATCAGAAAGGAAGGAGTTTGTAAAGGCATTAAAATTAGCAAGGTAAATAGCAAAGCATTTGAACATACAAGATCTATGACAAGTTATTTTAGCTGTTTTTGGAAGAGGTCGCCTGTCTCTGTTTAGCATGATTCACGGAAGCTTCCCGCTTTGTCACACTGAAGCTATCTTTTGGTAACTGGTTGCGCCTTTCTTTGCCTTCCTAACTTTCTACTTTTATTTATTTATTTTTTTAGTATGCTGTACTCTTATTGATCTTATCTCTTGCTTTTTGTAAATTGTGAGAGAAGAAGCTGGTTCTGTTTCTAACACTCAATTTGGCACTTGAACTTTTTAGGGTTTTTTTAAACCTTTGTTCTCTGTCTGAGTTACATAGAGGACAAGCACAACCTTAGGGCGTTTCCTACATTTTGCAGGTGGTGCAAATATAATACTCCCTGACTATAAGCATATATATTTAAGCATTTGCAAAAACAGATTACCACCTTTATATATATTTTCACTCTAAGTAATTTAAAATCTGTTTTTAACATAAGATCCTTCTTAGCCTAACTTCACAAAGTTTTATGTGAGTCTTAATAAACAAACCTTTAGCATAACTTAGAGCTATACATTACCACCTTGAAAGCAAAAATACTGAAATTTTGTTTCTAATCATTCTTTTAAACTACTAACATGGCAACTTGACAACATGGAAAGTGCTCCTGGAAAAACACACTTAAGTTGCTAATAAGTCATAGAATCATAGAAATGTAGGGCTGGAAGGGACCTTGAGAAGTCATCAACCTCCCTTGGTAACCTATTCCAGAGCTTAACTACCCTTATAGTTAGAAAGTTTTTCCTAGTATCTTTTCCTAATATCTCCTAAATCTCACTTGCTGCAGAGCAAGCCCCTCTGCATACAAAACACAGCCTATGTTACCTGGAAACCCCTTCTACTTGGCCACAGCCTGTTTGCCAGAAAAATGAATGTTTCCAAAGTTAGCTCTTAAAATTAACAAACAAAACTACTATACATAAATGCTAATACGTCAAAAAGTCCAAGGGACTGGACCGATCCTGATCTGTGACTAATGACTGCTCAGCGTAGCAGAAGGAAATACACAGGTACCCATAAGCTTCCAATTTGGGAACATGTACGGCAGTCCAGCTATTCATGGCCCAAAACAGATGAGATCAAATAATTTCTGTCTATGTCCCAGCCTAAGAAAACATGTTGAAGCCACTGTTGCATATTTTTCAATAGCCACTACACTGGTGATATTCACAGAAATGTTTTTCAAGGCAAAGGGAAAAAAAGATTCCAAAAAACTCCAGATGTGCCAAACAAGGACTGGCACGAAGTAAATCCAAGGACTGGGTGGGAGAAAAGTGACAGAGTTGGGAATCTAGGTCTCCTGAATGCAAGCCCACTTCTCATACTACTAGAATAATGATATGGGGCTTTTTCAGTTATCAGAGGCAACATATAGGAATGTTGCTGAAAATAAGCAACATCTTTAGAAACATTGCAAAAAGTAAGCAATATTTTCCATCAGAGGTTGAAATTTACCACCAGCAATGGAGGCAGTAAGTGAAGGCTACAGATTTAGGTTTTTCTCATAAGCTTGAAGTTCAGTACCTGAAAAATATGTTTAAACATTATTTAAATGAAATAGTTAAAGCAACATATTTTTCCAAATGTTACAACTCAAACTAGCTTTTCTCATGCATTCAGGATTAGAGCTACATTTCCTATGTCTCAAACTTATGCCAAACTTAAGATGGCACCTTATTTTGGAGTGCTAATTATTCTTTATTACAGTTGAAACACTACATGTTTAGTGACCATCTTTATAAAGATGTAGTGATTAAGATTTCTTACATCATGTGACATATTAACTTTAAGAATTTATCTTATTGCCTTTTGGAGATAGATAGATGACAGAAAAAAACCAAGTCATTTCACATGTTCCACCGGTGGTCTGGAAATACCACACATCTTATTGTGATTAGCTATTAATGACTATGTTGTAACCAAGGATTATGTAGGTTCTGGTAGCATTTGGTCATCTACCCATTAAGCAAAACCTTTTGGCAAGATTTTTTTTTAGTAAGAAACTGAAAGACTAAATAAGGCCTTGAATAGCTTTATTGAAATCTGTATAAATAAACATGCGCAATTGAAATGTAAACCCAAGTGAACTCAAGTGCAGACAAAATTTTAACCTCTGTCATGCAGGAGGTTAGTTTACATTAAAAAAAACTCAGAAAGCAGCTTTAAAATACCAGGATGAAACACCAGCTTTAATATCAAGGTATAATGCAAAGCCATGTCCAACATACCTCATTTATATCCTGGTCAAATGCAATTTTTTTAAACTTTTTAATGCTAACATAAATAAATAATTTACCAAAATGTGCACTCACAGAGTGAACTTTTATTTACAATACACAATTTATAACCTATTGTATTCGATTAGTTCAAGTGAAGAACATCATACTTTTTGCTTTTCATAACAGTGGGACACAAAGCAATTTTTCAGGTAGTAGATATGTGAAGTGTGCTCCCACACTTAAGAGCGCCTATCGAAGGCAGTATTGTATACAAATCAACAATACATTTGTCCAACTAGATCAAAGGGAAAGCAGCAAATTAAAAATGTTTCAAACTGTCACACTTATTTTTGGCATCCTGGACCCTTGAACATGGTTAACTAAAATCCAATTCAAGGTTTGTATGCTTTATATACTGTACAGGTTCTGACTCTTGAACATGCAAATGTCAATTCTCCTATAATAAGTTACCTTTTGAGAAAAGCTGTAAGGCTATGGTGAATTCCATCAGGAACACACAAAGAAAATTAACAGACCTACCTTTAAAACCAATTGTTCATTAACAATTTAAAGGCAAGTTATGTGGAAAAAATTCTTTTATCTAAGCCTGACGCACAGTCATTACTATGGATACAGAATACTATTAAATTTGTCCCTATTACAAAGTAGTTTGAAAGCTGCCAAACTACCCACATGGGCGGGGAACTTACAGCACAATTTTAAATTTTGGAGTGACACCAGATTAAAGTTATGCATGTCTTATAAGCAAGATAACAGGAATTATAATGTCAACCTAGTAGATCCAACAAGGAACAAGGGATACTTACATTTAATTGAAAAATGTTTGTTAATTCAGCATGAAATCCAGAACCTGTTCCACAGCAGCAGTAAGATGAACATAATATTCTGGATGTTTAACTATTCCACAAAAGGTTAAAACACCTTTTCAAGATATTTTCTTCTATCATGATTGAGTTTACAATTGGTCAACATTAATTTCTAGGGAGAAACTTGAAAATTTGGTGTTTCAGGAATACTACTTCTCATATTTATGCCACATGTACTAGCTAAATAATAGTAGTACATGTGACAGCCTAATATACATGAATAAAATCATCCAAAAACTAGGCTCTCCACCGTAGTATTCTCGTAATACTAAGAAAATAAATGACCAAAGTCCACAAATTTAACATTTTAGTTATTAACTCACATCCCAAATGAAGAAAACATAATTCATCAAAACAGCAGCAGAAAACTTAAAAGGGGTTTATTTGTGATATCCTATAGATAGCTTGTGAATACAAGACTGTAAATGTATTAGAGACAATTTCTGTTAAAGTTTTCATTGTGTTTCACTTCAAGTACTGCACATGTTAAAATGCAATAAAGGATTTACATTCTGTTATCTGAAATTCCCCATCTCAGATTTTATTTTTAATTTGGTGGGCAATTTCATTCTTTCTATAGATATCTCCAATGAGAAAGTCTTTCTTTTTATGGCTTCTAGGTCTTCTATTAGTTAGTGTGCATACAATTTTCATTTTCTATATCATTCTCATTGCTGTCTTCATCACTCTCTAACGGGATGCCTGTGGCAGCTGAAGCACCTTGTTTAGTTTCCCGATCAAGAGGGAAAAACCCAGTTCCGCTGATAGTGTCCTGTCTCTGGTAGAAGAGCACATATGCTGCTTTGGACTGTCAAACAAGAAAAAACAAACTGTTACTACCTTAATGATCATCAAAGGCAAATCTTTTGCTTTTTGGGACAAGGTCTCCCATCAACATAGCTTTGTCTCCATGGGGGTTAGGTCATAAAAACTATGTTGCGTGGGGTGTGGATTTTTCACACCCCCGAGCAACGTAGTTATACTGATATAGGTCTGCAGTGTTGACCTGGCCTGAGTTAGTGTCCCAGACCTGAAGAGGAGTTTGGTGTAAACTTGAAAGCTTGTGTCTCTCACCTGCAGAAGTTGGTCCAATAAAAGATATTACCTCACCCACCTTGTGTCTCTAACAACGAGTGCTACCTTTATTAGCCTTCCATGATTGTAAGTATGTAATTGTTTTATGTTGGGAGTGTTGGATTTTCTAGGAAACAAGATTCATTCACAGCTCAGTACAATTTTTTGGGATGGGTAGGGGAGGAAATTTGAATAAGTTTATAGTTAACTTAAATTCCACCCCCACAAAGAAGCCATATTTATCAGTATAAACATATGCCCTATATCACTGCAGTTTGCTCTGACAAACTACTGTAGTGTCACAATGCCGGTGTCAGAGTATACAACAGCAAACAAAGAATCAAGTTTCCCCCACCCCCCTGGCTACATTAAATCAAATACAACAAATGAAGAATTACCAAGCAAGGCAGAAATGAATACCATGCAGAAATAAGCCAATTGACACATTAAAATGACCCCTCTGCATACAAGTGTCTCGATTCTCTCCCATCCTGTGTTGTTTTGGTCAAGAAGTAATGGGATTTTAACTAAGAAAATTTAGCACCTAACTCACTTACATGGCCAATTTTGAACATCTTCAACGTTTGCATAAGGAACCTAGAATTTAGCAATTGGAGATCACTATAAATTATATATATGATGAGTTGCCTGGATAGACTGTTGAAATTTCTAGCACTGGGAGGAGGTATTTTTTCATGCTTTGTGTGTATATAAAAAGATCTTCTACACTTTCCACAGTATGCATCCGATGAAGTGAGCTGTAGCTCACGAAAGCTTATGCTCAAATAAATTGGTTAGTCTCTAAGGTGCCACAAGTCCTCCTTTTCTTTTAGCACTAAATCCTAATTGCTGTGACTCAAACAAACAAGGACAAGATTAACGGAACTCAAGAAAGCACCAGAGGAAATGTCTAATCAAATTTATGGCAACTCCAGGGATTTTACCATATTATTGTAAGATTATTTTAAGAAATGTTCAGTGTTGTCAAAGCTGACACCCTTAGTTTAATGGCATCACGTCACACTGAAAAACAACCTGGAGAAATCAGACAAATGAATTTGGCAAGTATTATTTAGTTCTGTTGTCTAGTAATGAATGTGTGCACTTAAATAAGGGCTCTCTTTCTGAGAGCAGCTCTTTCCACGTGGATGCTATAGTAAATAATCATGTATTTGACATCACAGTCTGGTGTCATAAGTTCAACATTATGTCTACACTTATAAGTCTAAATGGGATAATATGAAATGCTCAGAAAACAATCCTAGTGAACAAAAACACTAAAAACATCTTCCGTTAACATGCAAAGTAGAGTAAATGTATATAATGTATAAATTAGGGCTGTCAAGCGATTAAAAAAACTTAATTGTGACTAATCACACTGTTAAACAAGAGAATACCATTTATTTAAAATATTTTTGGATGTTTTCCAAATTTTAAATACACCTCTACCCCGATATAACATGAATTCGGATATAACGTGGTAAAGCAAAAATGTTTTTCTGTCTCGTCTATAACACTGGCTCTCAAACTGGGGGTCACGACCCGGTTATGTGGGGGTCCAAGCCCCAACCCCAGCACATGGCTGCAAGTTGCGAGCCCCGACCCCAGCGCTGGGCTGTGAGCCCCGACCCAGACGCATGGCTGCAAGCCCCGACCCCGACAGGGACACGCTGCTGCGAGCCCCGACCCCGGGCTGTGAGCCCCAACCCTGTCAGGGCTGCATTGCTGCGAGCTCCGACTCTGGCACACAGCTGCGAGCCCCAACCCCGGGCTTGATGTGAAGGGCGACATCAGATGTGCCCTTTCTAAAACAACACCAAGAATAAAATTTCTTGTGTCAAATACTGTACTAATAACGGAAATGCTCGAGGCCAAAGCAAGTTCGATATAACGTGATTTCCCCTGTAACACGGTAAGATTTTTTGACTCCAGAGGACCGAATTATATCGGGGTAGAGGTGTATATTGATTTCAATTTCAAACACAGAATACAAAGTGTACAATGCTCACTTTATATTTATTTATTATAAATATTTGCAATGTAAAAATAGAAATAATATTTTTCAATTCATGAAATACAAGTACTGTAGTGCAATCTCTATCATGAAAGTTGAATTTACAAATGTATAATTATGCACAAAAAATAACTGCATTCAAAAATAAAAATTTCAAACTTTAGAGCCCTACAAGTCCACTCAGTCTTACTTCTTGTTTAGCCAATCACTCGGACAAGTTTGTTTACATGTGCAAGAGATAATGCTGCTCGGTTCTTGTTGACATCACCTGAAAGTGAGAACAGGCATTTGCATGTCACTGTTGTAGCCAGCATCACAAAATATTTACGTGCCAGATTCATATGTCCCTTCATGCTTCAACCACCATTCCAGAGGACATGCGTCCATGCTGATGATGGGTTCTGCTCGATAACGATCCAAAGCAACATAGGCCAATGCATGTTCATGTCCGTCATCTGAGTCAGATGCCTCCAGCAGAAGGTTTAATTTTCTTTTTTGGTGGTTCGGGTTCTGCAGTTTCTGCAGAGTGTTGCTCTTTTAAGACTTCTGAAATCTCTCAGATTTTGGAAGGCACTTCAGATTCTTAAACCTTGGTTTGAGTGCTGTAGCTATTTTTAGAAATCTCACATTGGTACCTTCTTTGCGTTTTGTGACATCTGCAGTGAAAGTGTTCTTAAAATGAACAACATGATGGGTCATCATCTGAGACTGCTATAACGTGAAATATATGGCAGAATGTGGATAAAACACAGAGCAGGAGACAGACATACAACTCTCCCCCAAGGAGTTCAGTCACAATGTAATTAACACATTTTTTAATGAGAGTCATCAGCATGGAAGCATGTCCTCTGGAATGGTGGCTGAAGCATGAAGAGGCATACAAATGTTCAGCATATCTGGAATGTAAATACCTTGCAATGCTGGCTACAAAAGTGCCATGGGAACACCTGTTCTTACTTTCAGGTGACACTGTAAACAAGAGGCGGGCAGCATTATCGCCCATAAATGTAAACAAACTTGTTTGTCTTAGCGATTGGCTGAACAAGAAGTAGGACTGAGTGGACTTGTAAGCTCTACAGCAGTGGTTCTCAAACTTCATTGTACCGTGACTTCCTTCTAACAATAAAAATTACTACCCAGGAGTGGGACTGAAGCCTGAGCCTCAAGAGCTTCAGGCCCAGGGAGTGGGTTTGGGCATCAGTTTCCACACTGGGCCCCAGAAAGTCTAAGCAAGCCCTGGCGACCCCATTAAAATGGGATTGCGACCCACTTTGGGGTCCCAACCTACAGTTTGAGAACTGCTGTTCTAAAGTTATACATTGTTTTGTTTTTGAGTGCAGTTATGTAACAAAAAAAAATCTACATCTATAAGTTGCACTTTCACAACAAAGAGATTGCCCTACCGTACTTGTATGAGGTAAATTGCAAAATATTATTTCTTTAGTTTGTCATTTTTACAGTGCAAATATTTGTAATAAAATATAAAGTGAGCACTGTACACTTTATATTCTGTATTGTAATTGAAATAAATATATTTGAAAATGTAGAAAAACATCCAAAAATATGTTATAAATTTCTATTGGTATTCTATTGTTTAACAGCGCGATTAAAACTCAACAAAGTTAATTGCATGAGTTAATTGTGATTAATCGACAGCCCTAGTATAAATGCAACATTATATCTGAACATTTTTCAAAATCCCTTTAAGGTTTCAATGGTGTCCCTCCCTCCCCCCCGCATTAATTAATATTAGACACATGTCCTTTTCTTCCCTCTTTGCAGTTGCTTTCTCACAAGAGAGGTGAGCTCTGGCTTGCTAGTTTGGGGTGGGAGAGTGTTTTAAAGGTAGAATTTAATAAACAGGGCAAAGTTTGCTGAGCAAGAGTTTGAACCATTACCTTAAGACCGGTAGATAGCTGTTGCTACGCTTAAAATATAACAAACATGCAAACAGTCCTCAGACTTCTGCTGAAATCTGCTGGTTTTTGAAATGTAAACAAAAACTTGTGTGTATTTGCACTGTCCCTTACACAAATAAAAAAACAAGGATACTTACCACTATTTGGTCCTCAGATGCAGTTGATACACTACTGTCATCAAAGTAGTACCATTTTCCATCATCTTTATTTTTTGCAAAAGCAGTATCTAGGACCCAAAAGAAGCATGTTACCCTTTGAATGTATCTGGGACCCAAAAGAAGCATGTTAACATAAGAACTTTGGCAACTGAGCAAAATAAATCTATAGAGGATCCAAGCTGGTCCTCATCAAACATATGACTTTTGAATCTTCTTATAGATAATATGGTATAAACTTATTAACAGTAGCCATATCATTGCTATAAGATTCATACTTCCAACCAGCCTTTTTCTTTTTCATTATGTTGACCCAAGTATTCCAGGTTTAGGTATTTTTTCACCCCATTAACAGCAAGAAAAGCATATGCCAATTTAGCTTTCACCTTATCAAAAAGAGCATTTAAAGGATAGGGCAGTCAGCCAGAATAAAGGATCTTAGAGGCTTTTACCCACCTCTTCATTCCTCTCCTCCCTTTGAATGAGAGGCATAATTGCATATAAAATCTCAGACCAGGAAGGCAAAGCGAGTTATATTACAGCACTGTAGTGCTTTTTGGAGGATAAATATGTCCCTTCCATGACAGACTCAGCCAACACAAATTTCAAAAGAACTTAACACTATTCTCAAAAGCTCATCTCAAATAGATATTTGTATTCAACTAGTGTATACATTTCAAGGAACAGAATTAAATGACATGGATTTGGGTTTTTTTTTGCCCTTTGGCCATTTTTAAAAAATGCAGCTGATTAATAAGAGTCAGTTTTAGTGCTAATAAAGAGTCAAAATAAAACACGAAAAGAAAGTTAGTAAGTAAAATGATTGGTGTTCAAAATTAACTTACAATGCCCTCCTCCCATTCCTCCATAGTGGTTGGACACAGCAATCAAATTATAGCGGCAAGGCCCTGCATTTGGATTAATGAGGAACTCTGACATATCCAAGTCACTGTTTAAAGAAAAACTCATATTATGTTAATGTTTTTTTCCAACTGCTGCTTAACATTTGAGTGTTGTCTTCGGGCCCTTTTATTTTAAAATCTATCCTAGTGGAGCCAAACAGTGGCACAAAGCCTCATATACAGGAAAACACAACTGACACAATATTGGAAAGGTTGGGAGTGCACATGCTCTCTCTCTCTTCTGATCTATAACAGGTATGGGATCAGAGTTTGTACATACACACCCTTCTCTATTCTCAAATTTACATAAAAAATAATGTAAACGTAAGTTAGCTTCAAACAAACACCTGTCCTGGCTTCCACTTTGTTCAACTGCCTGTATACGGTACCTTAACATACATTAACCTGTAGCTGTCAAAGTCAAACATCTCCTTCCAGAGTCCTTTGCCCAATACCACTCAGTGAATTATTTTTCACACCTATCTGACTATTTTACTTGTTTCATGTTACTCAGTCCTCCCTCCCACAGCCTACATTTTCTAGGTCCTCTGCTCAGGAGTATTGCTTTTTCCCCATTAGTGCTTGACTTGATCTGTAAATCTGAACTAACCTATTTTGCAAATTAAGCATGGACCCATTGTATATAACTCTTAATTAAAACGTATTTAATTTAATCTCAAAATGTCAGGCATGTTAGAAATGTGAAGGCTAACATTTAAATATTTCAATTCAAAAGTTTTTCTTACTTTATTGGAAAATCAACCAATGTATCCAGCTTGTCCCTCATATATCTGCTGTAAGAAAAGCGCTTTAGATGTACTACCAGTACTGGGGGCAGTGACCACAAATCTAACTTTTTGGTTGCTTGCTGATGTTCTTTACAGTTTGGACAATACCTAAAAGAAAGACAGTCACTTTAGCATTCGTAAAGAGTGCAGGTGTTGAAGTGTATCACCAACAAGAAAGATATATCAGGTTGGAAGCTGAATGTGTAAACCTTCAGTTCACTGTTTAACGGCCTGAACCTGAAAGATAGCGCTCTTGAAATTAATGTGAGCTGTGGGTGCTCAAGCACTCCAGGGATCAAGACTTATTTTTAATATTTGAAATATAAACATAAAGGAAAAAAGTCAAATAGCAAAGATACTATATAATATGCCTTGGTGCTGGTCTTTATAGGTTTTTTTAAAGCAGAAAAAATTTAACCTTCTGAACTCAAAAGAAGCTGAAGGAATATGGAAAATTTCAGCAAGTTATGAGCATCTGGAAAGAAAGAGCTTACTTACCAGTAACTGTGGTTCTTCAAGTGTCACTTCTCACATCCACACTTGTGGGATATGCTCCCACCCCACTGCCATTGAACTTAGAGCATTCAAGAAATGCAGTGACCACTGCAACCACAAAAGCTCCCACTAACAGCAATGGACATTTGTAACAGAGATAAGAGGCTGTGAAATCCCTAGCTGCCTTGGTTCCGTCTTCTGAATCTTTGAGAGAATATAATTCCAAAGAAGTAGGGAAGGTGGGGCAGGTAAGAATCATGAAAAATCTTTTCTTTGAAGCAGCCTCCGCATATTTCCACTTAGGCAAATGTAAGTAACAGTATAACTGCTAGGAAGGCAGGCTAAGTTCTAATTAGAAAGGACTGCAGAACTGCCCTCCCAAAACAAACATCACATCAAGATGACAAATTAAGAGAATGGCGCTGCATAAAGAAAATTTCAGGTAGAATATTGAATATTTCTATGATGGAATCCTTGCTGAAGCAGGTCAATGATGTTGCTTTAGCCCTACAAGCCTGAGCTCCAAGGCTACCAAAGGTGCTGATACCAAAGCCAAAGGGCAATTTTAATTTTTAATTTAGATTCTAGGAAATGTTTAAAAACCCTCTGGGTGCCTTTGATATACATTAAAAATACAATCTAGCTTAAAGAAAAACAAGTGTACCAACTTCCCAGCCGAAAGAGGGAAAGAGAAAAAAAGCCATGGTCAGCATATGTGCATTTTGATAGGCTCTAAGTGGAAATGACATTCTTCTTACACTGCTTTCCAAAAGATACAAAAAAAGTTCAGGTAACTTCTTATATAAAACTTAGTTTTATCCAATTAAAAACCTCAAAGCCCTCTTAACATTGAGGGTGTGGGCATCTACCTTTCCCTGTTGAGAATGACATTTTGGAAAGAAAACCAGGATATTACATAGTCTGGTTTAGATGGAACCAGTCAGTTTATTTATTTATTTATTTAAAGATAAGCATCTTGGATGAACCTGCATGATCATGACAACTTTGTGCCTTTGGAATATGGCAAAGGGACGATCAGCCATCAAAGCCTGCAAGTCTCTCACCTTTCTTGAAGTTATAATTTTGATTCAGAAAGCTGTTAGTGACTAATGGAATAAAGTGGACTTTCCCCAAAGTTTCAAAGGTCACAGTCATTAACTATGACAAGCGTTAAGTTGACATCTCCCATCAGGACATGCTCTCCATGTGGTGGGACGTTTGAAGAGTCTATGAGAGTGTGTGGTATGTTGAGATGGTAGACAAATAACTTTTGATTACATGAAGAGGCAAAGAAACTTCAGCTATATTAAACAGTCCATAATACATTAAGTAGAGCACAGCACAGAGATAGGCACTAATCTGCTGCCACAGAGAAAACCTTTTCCATTTCTAGGTGTAACATTTCAATGTGATTTTTTTCTTTGACTGCTACAAGATACTCTGAACCATTGCAGACGTCAGTGTCCCATGATCTAAGCTGCAAGATTAAGTGAACCAAGACCATCCCATTTTGGAGTAAGGATATCTGATGATTAATCCAGGAGATTCATGTACCCATACTTCCCAAGACCTGCCCTGACAGCGCTGGCCAGTTTGTGTTTATGTGGAAGCACCAACAAAACACTAGTAGATCAATCAAGACTATTCTAGCACTTCAATTCAGATAATGCAGCCCTGACTCCTTGTTGTCAGAGCAGGTCTGAAACTGGATTCAGATTTCTTTCGACTTTAAACCAGATAAAACTGAGGATCACAGGACCAAAAGCTTCTTTCCCCCCATTTTGGACTGCTTCAAATCCAATGAAAATCTACTCTTGTCTCTGCATGGGGCCAGGACAAGCTCCGACCAAAGAGCAGATCCCAGGATCTGATGTGTAAAGCTGCCACTGTGAGAAAGTCCTAAAATAGAGAGTGCCTGTCCTCCTCAGTTTGAGCTGTAAAGGCCTTACATGCTGAGCAACAAACTGGAAAATGGCCTCACATGCGGCAGGTCAAGCAGCAATTATGTATATTTGATTTCAGGTAAGTGCGGGGGCATCAAATACACTGCTTAAAAAGGTTTTTTTCCCCTCTAGTCTGGGTCTTCTGAATTGGACAGGATGCCCTGGAACAGAGTCTCCCTGGGATTCAAACTGCACAATGATCTAGAAACTATACCTGAACACAATCCAAACTAATAACAGCAACAAGCTAACAGGAGATTTTAGGTTTAAAAAAAAAAAAAAAAAAAAAAGAACGGTTCTCTGGTTACACAGTGAAGCTAGCTGAAGAAAGGAAGGAAGAAATGAGGTGGCTACTTGCGGAGCCTCTTGAACATCTGGTGCTGTGAAGAGACTCTCATGAGGTTCCAATGGGAACTGCTTTCTAAAAGATCCCCAAAGCTCATTGGTACTGAAGGAAAAATCTCACAACTGAGAATATTCAGATGTCCCCTTATAGAAGAACAGCAGTTTATAATACATACATTGGTTTGAAAAAATTCAACAATACTACACCTAATATACGCAGCCAGTACATTTAAAAAGTCCAACTGGTCTGAAATATTCTACCAGTTGCAGAGACATCACTAGAACAAGTAGACTCTCTCACGCTAATGGAAAATTTTAAGTGAACCAAAGCTTTTCATATATAAACATAAACACACAATAAGCGTTTGTGTAGAAAAGGTTTAATATATGATAAACTTTTCAATCTCAGCTAGAACCATACTCATTCTCATCACTGCACTACAAATCTGCACAGGAGTGGTTCTCGAATGGTTTCATAATGCGGACCAGCTCCCCTCCTATTCATGATAGCATGGACTGTTTCCCTTCCCATATGCAATCATATAACATCCCAGTAGCAGTTACAGAAATTGCTTACATAGTAAAGAAAATATGTAATGTATCCTTAGTTGTGTTTTCATGCAGTTTAGCAGATGGAATAAGGACTGCAAGTACCATGTGAGCAATCTGCAGCTCACCAGCAAGTGCTCCATGGACCACAGTTTGAAACACACTGTCTACAGAACTAGTTCAGCACATCAAGTTTCATTTTTGCTCTTACCATGGATCTTCAGCACCTAGTTTCTCCTTTGTTGTAAACAGTTCAATGCAATCTTTTAATTTCACAAAAGGCTTTTTTGGAGGTTTATATTCCACACTTTCATGTTTTTCAAAATCCTAAAGAGAAGTATTTCTTGAGTTAAGAGAACAAATGAAATAAAACTCATTTTAGTGATATCGTCTTACTATGAACAGTACCTACAAGCTCCTAAATATGGAAAACTGCTCAAAATGTGTTCAAATGTAATTAAGTTTCACATGTTTTAGATTTATTTTTCTAAATCAGTAAGCCTCAGATCACCTAAATTGTTAGATATAAGGGGTTTCTTTTATGGTAAAGTAGTTTATTACAAAATGTACTATATCTCTCTACTCTTTCTTTGAAATATTTCTAGAAATCTACACTTCACATAAATAGTGCATTAAACCATATATTTGCATGATAAAAGTTTAGTAATTGCTGAAAAAGAAGTGTAAAATAAATGCCTTACCTCTGCTGCATTATCATCAAAGTATCTTTTTTTCATTTCAGGATCCCAATCCAAAGCAAGAAAAGATCTTTCTAAGAAGGAAAACACATGTTCCCCTCAAAAATACATTTATTATCTGAAAGTATGTTTAATTTGTAGCGATTACTAATCAAAATAAACTAAAATAACCGTTGGTACAAGTTTAAGAAAATCAAAAATTTGGTTTCATTAAAATGTGTGAAAGTTATGTGTTTCTAAAAATCAACAGCTTGCAATGTCAAGCTGAACAATGTTCGCTGGCTCGAACAAGAGATGATATATATATTTTCCTGAAGACAGACTATAAGCACATAGGTACATACATGTATGCACTGGGAAAAAAACATGAGTAGCCTACCAACAGAAGGCACAGCCGTTCAAGAAAATGGTACCAGAAACACAAAAAACATTGTGATCAAATTTAACCAAACCCATCCCACAATGACTTACCATCAAGCCTGAGTTGCCTATCATCAAATCTAATATGTCTGGTATCATCTTTGATATAGTTGATGTCAGTACTGCCTAAATTGTTGAACTGGAATGTAAACAATCGTTTTTTGTGTCCCATGAGTAGTTGACCTTTGCAAGTTTCCTCAGTACACAATCCATTTTCAGAATCATTGTCTCCTCCAACTGAGTCTTCTGATTGGCTGTTTTCATTCTCCGAAGGAAGTTCCTGATCCTGGCTGGATTCATCATCTTGTTCATCTGTCTCCATTTCACCTAACGAAATAGGGTGTAATTCAACAAATCTGACAGTGCATTCTATTTAGGCAGCATTTTAAGGTGCTGCATTTTTCCTCCTACTATAAAGTTTTGCATTGTTATTGAAATTAGGAAAACCAGCAAAATCTAGACTGAAGGGTAAGATGTTTGTTATACTCTACAGGACTTGGGGCTTTTTGATTTTCTGGTAAGTACCTCACATGGTCTCCTTCCACATATACCATAGTTGAAGACAGTTTCTTACAAATTGGAAAGGACCCATCCTCACTCTATACACAACTTTACGTATGTACCACCACCATTTTCAATTTCATTTTAATGTTTCCCCCTTCAGCCAGTGTTCTCACACACTCCTCTTTTCATTTTCCTCATGCTTTCAGCACACACTGGAATGTTCAACTAAACTCTCTCTAGATTTATGACAAAAATATTTTCCTCTTTTGAACCCAGATGTCTGTGAACATGCTAAGAGTCCAACCAGCAAAAGGAAACGTGATACCACATTTTAAAGAGTTTAACTCCTAGCTAACAGGTCACCGCCACTCAAATTCTGCTAAGTTCCTTGCAATTACTGTCTCTTGAACAAATTGCCTTAAAAGTTAAAAAGAAAAATAACAGTCCTGCTGAGTTCAGTAAATTTGAAGCTTAAAGTAGCTACACCACTCAAAAGAAAGTTTAAATATCAAGGCTTTTAAGCCTCCAAAATGACAATTTTAAAACAAATTTGGGGGCCAGCCTGGTGGTCTAGTAGCAATATATTATCCTGACAGCCAGGGAGTCAAATCTGGCTAAGTGAGAACTGGAAGTGCTACAATGAACACTCCTCACATCCGTTTTTAATACTGCCTTTAGCTTAAGCTTGCCTGCAGTGATACAGACTTAATGTGGTGGCTTTGAGGGTGGTGGTTAGAATCAAGAGGAAAAAGGGAGAATTACGTAATTGGGGCAGAAAGGCATTAAAGTATGAATCTTACACTGAACTCAAAATATTAAACAAGTGTAACTATTCAAGCCTTACTTGGGGATCCTTCTTCATGTATTCCATTCGGGCCATTACCATTGATACCATGGTCCTTACAGCAGTGTAGGGATCCTTCAGTGTCTTCACTTTCAGTACATGTTTTCACATATCGGCTAAAATAAGCAATTGAAAATAATAATGAACATTTGTATACCACTGGGTTTTGTTTAAGATGAATATTTGCTTGTAAAGTAATAAGAGCACTGAAAATACAGTAGGTAGTGTAAATGCTCTTACAACGTACTGTATTCCTGCCATGATTCACAGTTACATTAAATGAATAAAGTGAACTCATATCAATTGCTGCAACAAACTGTTTCTGAAGCACATTTCTTCTTGCTTTTTCTATAGAGTTTTTTTAACTGTGTGCGATCTCCTTTGCTCTATATTAGTTTCTGTTTTTTTAGTATCCCAACCACACTGTCTATATAACTGGTCAGATATAGAAAAATTTTGTACACCTTGTACTATGAGGACATGTCTACAAGAGAAAGTTATATCAGCATAAGGTAAGGTGTGAATTTAAACTGATATAATTATACCTGAAGAAGAGTTTTGTGTGAGCTCAAAAGCTTGTCTCTCTCGCCAACAGAAGTTGGTTCAATAAAAGATACTATCTCATCCAGCTACCGGAATAACTCCCTGTGTGGATGTTCCTTTTCCAGAATGAGAGTCTCCACGGGGAGAGCTATCCCAGTATAACTAATCTGGTACAACAGGTGAAACTTTCCCATGTAGACAAGCCCTAACTGCCATGATTAAACAACGCCCCCTCCACACACAAACAAACCCCAAACCAAAAAACCTCTTCCCTCCCAAATATAACCACCCTCCTTCAAACATGACACTATTTTTGGATGACATAAATGCCATTAAAAAAATCAAACTAAAACCAAGTCTAGTTTGGCTCTCAAGAGGTTAAAAACTTGAGTAAAAAATAGTCTTATTTTACAGAAAACAAATATAACTGCCCATGAAAGTCTAATCAGAGTTCCCTAACAATGCATATAAAAAGCAATCATCCACAGAACCTGATTATTACTGTTACTTACATTTAAAAAAATTTTCAAGTAATATTCTTACCACATTCTCAACAGCAGAAGGTTATACAGTTTATCTTCAGTATTGTTTCTAGGCACTGTTATAAGAAAAGGCTGACCAAACAACGAAGAACCACTATGGTGGCTGTAACTGGTATGTCTATACTTTTCCCTTAAACAAACAGGAATTATGACTTGCTCTGTATCCTCTGTTCTGTTGATAGCGATTTCAAATCTTAAAAAATAGAAAAGCAGGCAAGACAAAGGTCATTTAGAAGAATCTGACAGAAAACCAAGACTTCTGTTTATTGCATGTTTCTTCTATGCAATTAATTTATTTAGCTGTAACTAAATCCGACTCCACACAAATTTATACTTAATATTAGGGCTGTCAAGTGATTAAAAAAATTAATCAAACAATAATAGAATATCATTTATTTAAATATTTTTGGATGTTTTCTACATTTTCAAAAATACTGATTTCAGTTACAACACAGAATACAAAGTGTACAGTGCTCACTTTATATTTATTTTTATTACAAACATTTGCACTGTAAAAAACAAAAGAAATAGTACTTTTCAATTCACCCAATACAAATACTGTAGTGGAATCTCTATCATGAAAGTTGAACTTACAAATGTAGATAAATTATGTACAGAAAAAATAACTGCATTCAAAAATAAAACAAAGGAAAACGTTAGAGCCTATGAGTCCGCTCAATCCTACTTCTTGTTCAACCAATCGCTAAGAGAAACAAGTTTGTTTACATTTGCAGGAGATAATGCTGCCTGCTTCTTGTTTACAATGTCTCCTGAAAGTGAGAATAGGCATTCAGGTGGCAATTTTGTAGCCAGCATTGCAAGGTATTTAGCAGATATGCTCAACATTCATATGCCCCTTCATACTTCGGCCACCATTCCAGAACACGTGTCCATGCTGATGATGGATTTTGCTCGATAACAATCCAAAGCAGTGTGGACCGACGCATGTTAATTTTCATCATACAAGTCAGATGCCACCAGCAGAAGGCTGATTTCTGTTTTGGTGGTTCAGGTTCTGTAGTTTCCACATCGGACTGTTGCTCTTAACTCTTCCGAAAGCATGCTCCACACCTTGTCCCTCTCAGGCACTTAAGATTCTTAAACCTTGGGTCGAATGCTGTAGCTATCTTTAGAAATCTCATATTGGTACCTTCTTTGCGTTTTGTCACATCTACGGCGAAGGTGTTCTTAAAACAAACAACACGTACTGGGTCATCATCCGAGACTGCTACAACATGAAATATATGGCAGAATGCAGATAAAAGAGTAGGAGACATACAGTTCTTCCCCAAGTTCAGTCACAAATTTAATTAACACTTTTTTTTAACGAGCATCATCAGCATGGAAGCATGTACTCTGGAATGGTGGCCGAAGCATGAAGGGGCATATGAATGCTTAGCATACCTGGTACGTAATATCTTACAAAGCGGACTACAAAATCACCACGCGAACGCCTGTTCTCACTTTCAATTGACATTGTAAATAAGAAGCGGGCAGCATTATCTCCTGTAAATGTAAACAAACTTGTTTGCCTTAGCGATTGGCTGAATAAGTAGAACTGAGTGACTTGTAGGCTCTAAAGTTTTACATTGTTTTGTTTTGGAGTGCAGTTCTGCAACAAAAAATATCTATATTTGTAAATTGCACTTTCAGAATAAAGAAATTGCACTACAATCGCTACAGAAATACTATTTCTTTTCTTTATCATTTGTACAGTGCAAATATTTTTAATCAAAAATAATATAAGGTGAGTACTGTACACTTCATATTGTGTTGTAACTGAAATCAATATATTTGAAAACGTAGAAAAACATCCAAAATATTTAATAAATTTCAATTGGTATTTATGGTTTAACAGTGCAATTAAAACTGGGATTAATCGCAATACATTTTTTTAATCATGATTAATTTTTTTGAGTTAATCACATGAGTTAGCTGGTATTAAATCGACAGCCCTACTCAATATGGAAGTATTTCCTGACAATAAAAAGAGACTCTTTGAACTTACACATAGATGTCATCGCGTTCCATAATACTACTCAAATTTTCATCCATAGCAAATATTCTGTGGAACCTATGATTGTATATATCAGTAACTATCATCTAAAAGGAAATAAAAAATTAAGTCACTCTTAAATTGGTTTAAAAACACTGAAAATATTTAACATTGGGCTATGTATAAATGATTACCTCAGCAACGTCTTACCTTATCTGCAGCAACACCAGACAAAGTTGACAGTGCTGTGCAAAGGTCCAGTATATTTCCAATTTTCGGAACTACTACTTTGTACTAAAAAACAAAATGTGATAATTTTTCACTCTTAAAGGACTGAAGCCGCTTGAGAAAAGTTGTCATACGTCCACAGTTTGTGTACAGTCTTAGTGTGCGTCTTTACATTCTTATTTAGATTCTCATTATATACGGAATTTATAACCTACCATGTAACAGATTTACTCATTACGTTTATTTGTTACTGCAAATACATTTTGGACATCCACAGTTTTATTAGTCTAAAAGTGAGCATACTAGTAGTACATATAATACTCTACAATGTGCTATTTCATGTGAGGCCACTTCTTTCCCATACAAAAAACCAACAGTGAAATGTATTTAGACACAGGGTAATAATTTTCAAAAACACCTATACCCCATTTTCAAAAACGACTTAGGCCTGGTCTATACTACAAAGGGTATGTCTACACTACGGAATAAGGTCGAATTTATAGAAGTCGGTTTTTTAGAAATCGGTTTTATATATTCGAGTGTGTGTGTCCACCACAGAAAATGCTCTAAGTGCATTAAGTGCATTAACTCGGCGGAGTGCTTCCACAGTACCGAGGCTAGAGTCGACTTCCGGAGCGTTGCACTGTGGATAGCTATCCCACAGTTCCCGCAGTCTCCGCTGCCCATTGGAATTCTGGGTTGAGATTTAGGCATTTAGTCCCAATGCCTGATGGGGCTAAAACATTGTCGCAGGTGGTTCTGGGTACATATCGTCAGGCCCCCGTTCCCTCCCTCCCTCCGTGAAAGCAAGGGCAGACAATCATTTTGCGCCTTTTTTCCTGAGTTACCTGTGCAGACGCCATACCACGGCAAGCATGGAGCCCGCTCAGGTAACCGTCACCCTATGTCTCCTGGGTGCTGGCAGACACGGTACGGCTTTGCTACACAGTAGCAGCAACTCCTTGCCTTGTGGCAGCAGACGGTACAGTACGACTGGTAGCCGTCATCGTCATGTCTGAGGTGCTCCTGGCCATGTTGGCTGGGAGCGCCTGGACAGACATGGGCGCAGGGACTAAATTTGGAGTGACTTGACCAGGTCATTTTCTTTAGTCCTGCAGTCAGTCCTATTGAACCATCTTATGGTGAGCAGGCAGGCGATACGGATTGCTACAGTCGTACTGTACCATCTTCTGCTGGGCAGGCAAGAGATGAGGATGGCTAGCAGTCGTACTGTACCATCTTCTGCCGAGCAGCCATGAGATGTGGATGGCACGCAGTCCTTCTGCACCGTCTGCTGCCAGCCAAAGATGTAAAAGATAGATGGAGTGGGTCAAAACAAGAAATAGACCAGATTTGTTTTGTACTCATTTGCCTCCTCCCCTTCTAGGGGACTCATTCCTCTAGGTCACACTGCAGTCACTCACAGAGAAGGTGCAGCGAGGTAAATCTAGCCATGTATCAATCAGAGGCCAGGCTAACCTCCTTGTTCCAATAAGAATAACAAACTTAGGTGCACCATTTCTTATTGGAACCCTCCGTGAAGTCCTGCCTGAAATACTCCTTGATGTACAGGCACCCCTTTTGCTGATTTTAGCTCCCTGAAGCCAACCCTGTAAGCCGTGTCGTCAGTCGCCCCTCCCTCCGTCAGAGCAACGGCAGACAATCGTTCCGCGCCTTTTTTCTGTGCGGACGCCATACCAAGGAAAGCATGGAGGCCGCTCAGCTCACTTTGGCAATTAGGAGCACATTAAACACCACACGCATTATCCAGCAGCATATGCAGCACCAGAACCTGGCAAAGCGATACTGAGCGAGGAGGCGATGTCAGCGCGGTCACGTGAGTGATCAGGACATGGACACAGGATTTCTCTGAAAGCATGGGCCCTGCCAATGCATGCATCATGGTGCTAATGGGGCAGGTTCATGCTGTGGAACACCGATTCTGGGCTCGGGAAACAAGCACAGACTGGTGGGACCGCATAGTGTTGCGGGTCTGGGACGATTCCCAGCAGCTGTGAAACTTTCGCATGCGTAAGGGCACTTTCATGGAACTTTGTGACTTGCTTTCCCCTGCCCTGAGGCACATGAATACCAAGATGAGAGCAGCCCTCACAGTTGAGAAGCGAGTGGCGATAGCCATGTGGAAGCTTGCAACGCCAGACAGCTACCGGTCAGCTGGGAATCAATTTGGAGTGGGCAAATCTACTGTGGGGGCTGCTGTGATGCAAGTAGCCCACGCAATCAAAGATCTGCTGATATCAAGGGTAGTGACCCTGGGAAATGTGCAGGTCACAGTGGATGGCTTTGCTGCAATGGGATTCCCTAACTGTGGTGGGGCCATAGACGGAACCCATATCCCTATCTTGGCACCGGAGCACCAAGCCGCCGAGTACATAAACCGCAAGGGGTACTTTTCGATAGTGCTGCAAGCTCTGGTGGATCACAAGGGACGTTTCACAAACATCAACGTGGGATGGCTGGGAAAGGTACATGACGCTCGCATCTTCAGGAACTCTGGTCTGTTTCAAAAGCTGCAGGAAGGGACTTTATTCCCAGACCAGAAAATAACTGTTGGGGATGTTGAAATGCCTATATGTATCCTTGAGGACCCAGCCTACCCCTTAATGCCATGGCTCATGAAGCCGTACACAGGCAGCCTGGACAGTAGTCAGGAGCTGTTCAACTACAGGCTGAGCAAGTGCAGAATGGTGGTAGAATGTGCATTTGGACGTTTAAAGGCGCGCTGGCGCAGTTTACTGACTCGCTTAGACCTCAGCGAAACCAATATTCCCACTGTTATTACTGCTTGCTGTGTGCTCCACAATATCTGTGAGAGTAAGGGGGAGACGTTTATGGCGGGTTGGGAGGTTGAGGCAAATCGCCTGGCTGCTGGTTACGCGCAGCCAGACACCAGGGCGGTTAGAAGAGCACAGGAGGGCGCGGTACGCATCAGAGAAGCTTTGAAAACCAGTTTCATGACTGGCCAGGCTACGGTGTGAAAGTTCTGTTTGTTTCTCCTTGATGAAACCCCCCGCCCCTTGGTTCACTCTACTTCCCTGTAAGCTAACCACCCACCCCTCCTCCCTTCAATCACCGCTTGCAGAGGCAATAAAGTCATTGTTGCTTCACATTCATGCATTCTTTATTCTTTCATCACACAAATAGGGGGATGACTACCAAGGTAGCCCAGGAGGGGTGGTGGAGGAGGGAAGGAAAATGCCACACAGCACTTTAAAAGTTTACAACTTTAAAATTTATTGAATGACAGCCTTCTTTTTTTTGGGCAATCCTCTGTGGTGGAGTGGCTGGTTGGCCGGAGGCCCCCCCCCACTGCGTTCTTGGGCGTCTGGGTGTGGAGGCTATGGAACTTGGGGAGGAGGGCGGTTGGTTACACAGGGGCTGTAGTGGCAGTCTGTGCTCCAGCTGCCTTTGCTGCAGCTCAACCATACACTGGAGCATACTGGTTTGGTCCTCCAGCAGCCTCAGCATTGAATCCTGCCTCCTCTCATCACGCTGCCGCCACATTTGAGCTTCAGCCCTCTCTTCAGCCCGCCACTTACTCTCTTCAGCCCGCCACCTCTCCTCCCCATCATTTTGTGCTTTTCTGCACTCTGACATTATTTGCCTCCACGCATTCGTCTGTGCTCTGTCAGTGTGGGAGGACAGCATGAGCTCGGAGAACATTTCATCGCGAGTGCGTTTTTTTTTCTTTCTAAGCTTCACTAGCCTCTGGGAAGGAGAAGATCCTGTGATCATTGAAACACATGCAGCTGGTGGAGAAAAAAAAAGGGACAGCGGTATTTAAAAAGACACATTTTATAAAACAGTGGCTACACTCTTTCAGGGTAAACCTTGCTGTTAACATTACATACATAGCACATGTGCTTTCGTTACAAGGTCGCATTTTGCCTCCCCCCACCGCGTGGCTACCCCCTCAACCTTCCCCCCTCCCTGTGGCTAACAGCGGGGAACATTTCTGTTTAGCCACAGGCAAACAGCCCAGCAGGAATGGGCTCCTCTGAGTGTCCCCTGAAGAAAAGCACTCTATTTCAACCAGGTGACCATGAATTATATCTCACTCTCCTGAGGATAACACAGAGAGATAAAGAACGGATGTTGTTTGAATGCCAGCAAACATACACTGCAATGCTTTGTTCTACAATGATTCCCGAGTACGTGTTACTGGCCTGGAGTGGTAAAGTGTCCTACCATGAAGGACGCAATAAGGCTGCCCTCCCCAGAAACCTTTTGCAAAGGCTTTAGGAGTACATCTAGGAGAACCGCGAATGCCAGGGCAAAGTAATCCTTTCACATGTTTGCTTTTAAACCATGTATAGTATTTTAAAAGGTACACTCACCAGAGGTCCCTTCCCTGGGTGGGTTCGGGGGGGTCCTGGCTCCAGGTCCAGGGTGAGAAACAGTTCCTGGCTGTCGGGAAAACCGGTTTCTCCGATTGCTTGCTGTGAGCTATCTTCTTCGTCCCCAAAACCTGCTTCCGTATTGCCTCCATCTCCATTGAAGGAGTCAAACAACACGGCTGGGGTAGTGGTGGCTGAACCCCCTAAAATGGCATGCAGCTCATCATAGAAGCGGCATGTTTGGGGCTCTGACCCGGAGCGGCCGTTCGCCTCTCTGGTTTTCTGGTAGGCTTGCCTCAGCTCCTTCAGTTTCACGCGGCACTGCTTTGGGTCCCTGTTATGGCCTCTGTCCTTCATGCCCTGGGAGATTTTGACAAAGGTTTTGGCATTTTGAAAACTGGAACGGAGTTCTGATAGCACCGATTCCTCTCCCCAAACAGCGATCAGATCCCGTACCTCCCATTAGGTCCATGCTGGAGCTCTTTTGCGATTCTGGGACTCCATCATGGTCACCTGTGCTGATGAGCTCTGCATGGTCACCTGCAGCTTGCCACGCTGGCCAAACAGGAAATGAGATTCAAAAGTTCATGGTTCTTTTCCTGTCTACCTGGCCAGTGCATCTGAGTTGAGAGTGCTGGCCAGAGCGGTCACAATGGAGCACTCTGGGATAGCTCCCGGAGGCCAATACCGTCGAATTGTGTCCACAGTACCCCAAATTCAAGCGCTAATCCACTTGTCAGGGGTGGAGTAAGGAAATCGATTTTAAGAGCCCTTTAAGTCGAAATAAAGGGCTTCATCGTGTGGACGGGTGCAGGTTTACATCGATTTAATGCTGCTAAATTCGACCTAAAGTCCTAGTGTAGACCAGGGCAAAGTTAGGTCAAAGTAATCCGCTTTGTCTTGACCTATTTATGCATAAGTCTACACTCAAATTTGTCTCTGGAAAACATAAGCAACCCGTTATGGTGACACAGTTAAACCACCTCCCCAAATGACTTTGAGCCATAGTCAAAAGAACGACCATATTGGCTCAGACCCAAGTTCCATCTAGCCCTGTAGCCTGTCTTCCAACAGTGGCCAGTGCCAGGTGCCCCAGAGGGAATGAACAGAACAGGTAATCATCAAGTGATCCATCCCTTGTTGCCTATTCCCATCTTCTGGCAAACAGAGGGTAGGGACTTCATTAACCTTTAGTCGACCTACTAAGGTCAATGCAGTGTAAGTGCAGACACTGCATGACCTATGTCAACTCTAACAGTTCTCTAGCAGCTGTTCCAACAATGCTGTTCTCTGCAACACTGACTGTTCTAGTCACAATTGTGAATTCCACTGCCCCGGAGTCTCCTGCGTATTTCTGAAATGCCTTTTCCTGATTGCTCACCATGGCAAGCACACCTAGCAGCTCTCCCTTGTGTGCAGCTGTCTAACCGACCACATCAGCTCCATGTACTAGACATGCTCCTGCCTAGAGAGACAGGAGATATTGGATCTCCTGTGCCCGTGGGTAGAAGAAGCTGTGCAGGCACAACTACAGACCAATCATACGAACGTGGACATCTACGAGCAGATTGCACAGGGGATGCAGGAGAAGGGGTACAAAAGGGATCGGTAACAGTGCTGCATGAAAGCAAAGGAACTGTGACAGGCATACAAGGCCAAGGAGGCTAGCAATCCATCTGGTGATGAGCCACAGACCTGATGCTTTTATAAAATGCTGCATGAGATGCCCACCAGCACCCACAGACACTGTGGACACCTAGGAGAAGCCTGGACAGAGACCCCTGCTCTGGGCACGAGGAGGGGAACCCAGTGTGGGGGTGAGGGTATCCAGCTATGCCACAAGCCAGGACCTGTCAAGACTCCACCACAGCCTAGACAGTCCCAACAGTTATGCATGGATGAGCCCGATGAAGGGGAAGGAATCTTGTGTAAGTGCGTGCATGCATTTTTCCTTACAGTGTTTAAATGTAAAGAGGTGCCCAGCCCAACTCTTAAGTTAATAGGACACAGGTATCGATTTTTCATTGTTTTACTTGTACGAGAAACGGTAGCAGTGCAATGAACAGAAATAGTGTTATCTGCTTTTCATATCCTGGTAGGATAAGGTTGAGGGGACATGCAGAGCAATGTTGTTTATGCACACAGGGATGTCCCTTGTATCCTCCTGAGAGGGCCAGATGAAACTTTCATGGAGATATGCAGCAATCCTCCCCCTAGATTTTTTTTTTTTTTAAATTCCATTAAGTACAAAGGAAAAAGAAGTCAAGTCAATCCAAGCATGGTCACACGGTGTTAACAACTATTATAACAACACTGAAGTTAGATGTTCTAGATACTACTCAAGGTTTCAGAAAAAACTGGTAGGAACAACAAGCAGGTGAAATTTTTCTTTAACTATGATAAGAACTCCGAAGATGATTATTTTTAATTCTTGGCAATCTTTCTCACTGTAGGCTGGCCAGTGCTTTTTCAAAGACTAAAAATGCAACTTTTTAACTTGCCAAATGGATTGCTGTTTTGTGTGATGACAGACATTATTTTGCAGCACTTTCACCCTGGGGAAGTGATTGAACTTTGGGCTCCTGCATGGAGATGCAGAACACCGATCAGATGACCAAAACAAAGATTTAATATTAAGCTCTTCAAGATTGTGTCCAGAAACATGTCTGTCTGTGCATGCATAGTTTGTCCCAAGAAGATTTCAGACGGACATTTCTTAGCACTTATGTGCATCAAAGAGACACAAGAGTAACTAGAAATAGACAATTATCTCATCAGTTAATTTCCAAATGAAAAAAAATTTCATATCCAACCATGAGGGCTCAACCTGTCTCTTCAACTTCTCCTGAAAGTCACACTATTACCTTAAACGCAATGCACCTAAACTCAACTCCTGCTTTTTTCCTCCCTCTCTGCTACACTATTCTCCATTTACTACTAATGTTACTATCTTCTCTGGTTTCAGAGTAGCAGCCGTGTTAGTCTGTATTCGCAAAAAGAAAAGGAGTACTTGTGGCACCTTGGAGACTAACAAATTTATTTGAGCATAAGCTTTCATGAGATGCAGCCGATGAAGTGAGCTATAGCTCATGAAAGCTTATGCTCAAATAAATTTGTTAGTCTCTAAGGTGCCACAAGTACTCCTTTTCTTTTTACTATCTTATCTATTACTCAGTTGTGTAACTGCTATCTTCGACTCCTCTTTCCCTTGACCCATCCAACCAGATTATGTCCAAACCTTGACTTTTCCCCCTCCACAAGCCAACCTCCTTTCTGCTCCTGCAGCCAAAACTCATCGGGTTCTTGTCTCCCACCTCACTTACTGTACCTGCCTCCTTTCTGGCCTCCTTAACATGCACATTGCCCCCTTCAGTCCAAAAAATATTGCTGCTAAAGTAACTCGGTTCTGGCATTGTCACTCTTCTCTCCCATCTTCCACTGTTCCCCCGCCTCTACTACACCAGGTTCAAGTATTCAAGGGCTTTCACAACTCAGCCCCTTCCTATTTAACCACCCTTACATATCTCCTACAATCTCTTCCACCAACTACAGTCTATGAATCAATGTCTGCTTCTCCCACAATAGTCTATGGGCTCTGTTCCAAGTCACTCCTTTCGCATCTAATTCCCTCTTGAATTGGCCCACAAGACCACCCTTTCCAGATTCAAATATTTTCTGAAGATCCTTTGATGACTACAGAATATTTGCTGACTAATAATGGAAAGTTGAGGGCAACTGGGCATAGTTTACATATTTAATAAAAAATAAAAATCTGTATCAAGAACTCACTTTACTAGTGCATTGTACTCCACCGAACTTTTGATGTTTGTCGTCATTTTAGACTTGTGGCAGGGACTGTGCATTTCTTTATGTTTGCATAGCAAGTAGATTATTTTGACAATATTTGAAACAAACTAATAATTAATAATAATAATAAAGAACACAGCCTGGATTTAAAAGGTTAGGGGAAATTAATATAGTAGTAAAATAAATGATCAATATCTTCCTTGAAATTCAGAAGAGTTATAGTAAAATGTGTCTTTTACAAAGTTTCCTCATTAATAAGTAACAGAGATGAAAGTCAAAAAACCGTACCATCCTGACAAATTTAATTTGTCAGATTTACTGCCTGTTCTGTCAAGTGTTAAAAACATGAACAGAAAAAAAGATTTTAACACCACAGACGTTTTACGTAAACAAAATATTTCTTACCTGCATAGGTTTAGTAAGTGGATCCATTCTAACTAAATAAACTTCCAAAGTGCGTTCTTTTTTCATGGGTAATGGAAGTGTCAAGTAACAAAAGGGATCAAAGGTTACAGAAATCTTTGCACATTCAGGGCAAACAAGGGTGGATTTAAAAAGACCATGAAATATATCTACAATGATGGAATCATTTCTTTTTAAATGGTTCTCCCAGGCTTCCTCAGCAACCACCTACAATTAAAATAGAACTTGGGTTATAGCAAAAAAAACACACTAATGAAATGCATGTTATGTATTACTGATACAAGTCGTTAATATGAGACTATCCATTACATGGATTAAATGTACAAAAAAAAAGTCTGACCCCAAGGACTGCACACGGGCTGACTACAGCAATGACACCTCACTTGTTAAGGGGATTGTGAGAGTTAAACACTTGTTAGGATAGAGACTCAGAAATCCGCTCCAATGGATGTTTGATCTATTTGGCTGAGTAACAGGTCAAAAAGGAAGTTGAAGACAAAAATCCCCATCTGAAGTAGCCCAGGGTTAGTGTGTATAATGATGCTCTACAGACAAGCAACTTAGGGCTGTGGAGTTTCCCCAATTAGGAGTATAGATGAGAGAGGCAGGAAACAGGAACTGACAAGTATGCTGAAAGAAAGAGACTGCAAGACCAGGGGGCCAAAATGCACCTGCTTTTCTTGGTGTGTTGGATGGAGTCTCTGCAAGTGGAATTATCTCTGTATAGCCTTGATGCTCTTTTTGCTATCTCTTTTCAAAGTAATCAGGAATTGTGTACATGTAAATAAATGAGACTAGAAAATATCTTGAGTCTTTGTATCCATTAAATTCTCTTCCACTAAATTCTGCCACTAAGCAGCCCCCCAAAATGTTAATGCTTGACAAAGGGGCAACAATATCTTACAACATACTGTAGCATTAAGTAATGAACTAAAACACAAAGAAAACCAATACTAAGAACATTACCTTGTCTGGCCTTCCATCTGCATCCTTTAATTGAATATAAGGCTTTTTCCTAATCCGATTCAAATCTTCATGTAAACCATCTAAAAGAAAAGCTAGAAGTTCTTGACAGTCTTGTTGCTGATATCCAGAAAACTGAGGTGCAAATCGTCCCACTTGTGTCTAGAGAGCATATATGAAAATTTTCAGTTTGGGAAATTTAATGTTTGATTTTGTGTAAACTAATAGATAGCCAGGGGCTGCCAGCACGTAACAATGCTTGGAAATCAATGATTGCCTCTGGTACCTTGTGTTTTCAAGAGTGCTGCCACTCAGGGGCCATAGCAAGGAATATTACATCGCTGAAAATGCTTGCATGGAGCTATGGGAGGAGCTCTTGGAGAGGAAGGGTGTTTTTGTGGTTAAAACACACTGCACTGGTACGCAGCAGGTCTGGGTTCTATTCCCAGCTATACTACAGATTACTCCTTTGACTAGTCACTTAACACCTCTCTGTAACTCAGTGTCCCCATTTGTAAAGGGGAGCATTGTAAGGATAAATTCTTAAATGTTTGTGAGACATTCAGATACCATATGGAAAGTGCCATAGTGGTAAACACTATAATGAAAAAATAGGCGTACAGGCTGCTATGTTAGTACAAGAGAAGCAGGCTAAAGCTCGTCAAACCAGTTGAATGACGAAGAAGGGTCAAGGAGGATATTTTTTTCAGAAATGATTTGGGGCTGGCAAACAATGGCAGATCAATCACTGCTAACGAGGGAGCCTGGAGCCAGAGTGCCACCCCAAGAGTAGGGAAGTGGTGGTATGGCCGGCAAAGGGGCATGTCCATGATGGAAGGCGGAAGTAGAAATGATGCAAGGATTCAGCACCTCCTCCCCTCAGCCTCTACAGGCAGGGCACTAATGGAGCTCTGGCCACAGTTTAATGCTGCCCTCGCTGGGTAAACATTATTTGCTTTCTGGGTGGTGAAACAGCCCCACGGTGCAATGCCCTCCTACTGCTGAGGACAGCTATCACCAGTGGGGGGTTAATCTAGCGCAGTAAACATGAAAAGAAAAAAAAAAAACCTCTCGCAATCCCCCACAAATGTAAACGATAGAATAGAAAAAAAAAGACTATAACTGACAGACATATGCAAGAGACAAAACACTGTAAGAAGACGACTTATAAGGTAAAAATATTAATGAAAGGAAAATAACATGGAAGCAAAAAAATATATGGTAGAGAAGTAAGTGACCAGAAGACAATGAGGATTAACAACAACTAAAAACATTAGTATGCTTATTAACAATAACCAAAAGCTAACAAAGATCTGGGATATAAAAATACAGTATCAAATTAAAGAAAGAGGAAATTATAGCACAGTAAAATGAATCAGTGGTGTCCTATTTAAAATACTATGAACCGTCCACATTACTTTTTAAAGGGAAGCATAATACAGGAAATATTTCGTAAATCGTCTTATGTTTCTAAATTATTCAAATAAGCATAAAGAAAAAAAGTCTTATTCTTGTAAAAGAGCCCAGAAAAATTACATAAACTTCTGACTAAACTATAGAAAAAACATCTTGAGAGCATGTTAAAGTCAAGATGAAACAGCCCGAAAATCAGTCAAGGGAAAGATGTAGCACTACAGAAATGACACTAGAACTAACATTTTGAATTAAAATATATAATGAATACAAAGCACGGCAAAAAGAGTAACTAGATTTTTTGGGGGGGATTTTTCTTAAGAAAGTAAATAGTTGACTGAAAAATTGTTACGATGTGTACAGTGTTGTTGTAGCTGCATTGGTCCCAGGATATTAGAGAAACAAGGGAGGTCAGATAATATTGGACTTTTTCAAGAGAGGCATCTGGGAGAGGGAGAATTCTCAAAAGCTTGTCTCACCAACAGAAGTTGGTCCAATAAAAGATATTACCTCACCCACCTTGTTGCTCTAAATTGTTAAGAGGCAGTCAACTGAATGGACCGCTAGCACACTGTTTCAAAACTCATTTTTTAAAATTATTTGTACGGCTGTCAATAGAATACCATTTATTTAAATATTTTTGGATGTTTTCTACATTTTCAAATATATTGATTTCAATTATAACACAGAATACAAAGTGTACAGTGCTTACTTTATATTTATTTTTGTAAAAAAATAAAAGAAATAAAAGAAACAGTATTTTTCAATTCTAATACAGAGGTGGGCAAACTACGGCCTGCAGGCCAGATCTGGCCCGTCAGGGCTTTGGATCCAGCCCACGCGATTGCCACCCCTGTGGTGCTGCGAGGTTAAGGCAGGCGCCACTCCCAGAAGCGGCTGGCACCACGTCCCTGTGGCCTCTGGGGGAGGAGGAGGGGGCAGAGGGCTCCACACGCTGCCCTTGCCTGCAGGCACCACCTCACGCACCTCCCACTGGCTGGGAACGGGGAACCACAAGCCTGCCTTAGCCCTGCTGCACGCCACTGCCACCCCAGAGCCGCTCAAGTTAAGCGGTGCCAGCCCGGAGCCTGCATCCCAACCCCCTGCCCTGAGCCCCTGCCGCACCCCTCCTGCACATCAACCTCCTGCCCTGAGCCCCCAACCCCCTGCCCTGAGCCCCCTCCCACACTCTGCAACCCAACCCCCTGCCCTGAGCCCCCTCGTACAACCTGCACCCTTTCTGTGCCCCTATCCCTTGCCTTGAGCCCCTTCCTGCACACCACACCCCCTCCCACATCCCCTCCCGCACCCCAACCTCCTGCCCTAGCCCTACATTCATGGCCCTGCATGCAATTTCTCTACCTAGCTGTGGCCCTCAGGCCAAAAAGTTTGTCCACCCCTGACTTAATACAAGTACTGTCATGCAATCTCTTTATCGTGAAAATTGAACTTACAAATGTAGAATTATCTACAAAAAAACATGCATTCAAAAACAAAATGTAAAATTTTAGAGCCTGCAAGTCCATTCAGTCCTATTTCTTGTTCAGTCAATTGCTCAGACAAACAAGTTTGTTTACATGTGCAGGAAATAATGCTTGCCACTACTTGTTTATGATGTCACCTTAAAGTGAGAACAGGCATTCGCATGGCACTGTTCTAGCCTGCGTCACAGGATATTTATGTGCCAGATCAGCTAAAGATTCATATGTCCCTTCATTCTTCAACCACCATTCCAGAGGACATGCATCCATGCTGATGATGGGTTCTGCTCAATAACTAGCCAAAGCAGTGTGGCCTGATGCAGGTTCATTTTTATTATCTGAGTCAGATGCCACCAGCAGAAGGTTGATTTTCTTTTTTGGTGGTTTGGGCTCTGTAGTTTCTGCATCGGAACTTAAAAGAATGTTGCTCTTTTAAGACTTCTGAAAGCCTGCTCCACACCCTGTCCCTCTCGGATTTTGGAAGGCACTTCAGATTCTTAGACCTTGGGTTGAGACCTGTAGCTGTCTTTAGAAATCTCACATTGGTACCTTCTTTGTATATGGTCAAATTTGCAGTGAAAGTGTTCTTAAAATGAACATGTGCTGGGTCATCATCTGAGACTGCTATAACATAAAATATATGGCAGAATGCGGGTAAAACAAAGCAGGGGACATATAATTATCCCACAAGGATTTCAGTCACAAATTTATTTAACACATTTTTTTTTAAATGAGCATCATCAGCATGGAAGCATGTCCTCTGGAGTTTTGTTTTTGAGTGTAGTTATGTAACAAAAAAAAAATCTACATTTATAAGTTGCACTTTCACGACAAAAAGACTGCACTACAATACTTGTATGAGGTGAACTGAAAAATACTATTTTTTATCGTTTTTACAGTGCAAAGATTTGTAATAAAAATAATATACACTGATTTCACTTACAACACTGAATACAATACATATGAAAATGTAGAACAAACATCTAAAATATTTAATAAATTTCAACTGGTATTCTATAGTTTAACAGTGCAATTAAAACTGTGATTAATCGCAATTAATTTTTTTAATCATGATTAATTTTTTTGAGTTAACAGTGTGAGTTAACTGTGATTGACAGCCCTAATTATTTGTTATATGTTTTATACATTTCATATACTTCAGCTGCGAAAACAAATTCACTGTATACATTCAAACTCAAATTATAATTTAAGTAATACCAACCTTAAATGCTCTTGGTGTGACGTAGCTGTATTTTCCTGACCATATTTGCTTGATGAGCTCTGCATAAGCTTTTGCTATTTCACCTCGCATTCCTAAAGGATTGTCAAAATTTAGCTCGTCCTGATATTTGTCATTTAGGAAGTATTCTGTTAGTGGAGGTGTGTTGCTCAGACACTGTGAATGGAAATATTAAATACTTAAAATAAAAAGGGTGATTTTAATTAGCTTTGCAAAAAATGCTCAATCTTTGTTACAGTAGCCATTTTTCTGTAAGTCAAATAAAATAAATATTTGCCTGTTAATAACTGAACTATAATACCTGCAGGAAAGAAATTACAACATTCTGTAGAAGCAGTAATTACGATAAGTATTGCAGCCATATGCAGTGTATTTGGGGATCACGTATTACATTTATGAATGTTGTATGTATCACTGTGGGTCAGGGATTGTAGGCAAATCCAAGGTGGGAGGTAGCACAGCTCCCCCAGGAAGTAATAGTGGGGAGAGATTACTCAAGTGCCTGAGTTTGTAAGCAGCTCCAGAGAAGTACTTCCCTCTAGAGTGGTTTTCATATATTGGGGTTAGGGCAGTCCCAGAGGAAAGGCAAAGGTACAAAGGAAGAACTTGGCATAGAACAGTTGAGTTTAAAAAGACTCAGAGCATTCTTTCCAACTGACATGAACTTTTGCCCAAGGGGGGAGCCAAGCCCTTGCCAGAAGGGTTGGAAGCTTTTTAACTTGCCAAGGCCTTGGGCAATTTCTGGTATGTTTAGTGAGAGGGTAAGTCCTTTTATGTTTATTTCTTTATTTTCTATATGCTTTATGTCCTCAATAGATGTACTCTGCTGAAAACGAGCTGTGTGCCATACACTGTTCACAGCCCTTGGAGAGAGAGCAGAGTTTAGGTGCTGTCTACAGTCAACCTGGCTTGCTGGGGACATCAAAGTGCACTGCAGGGGACTGTGGCCTAAAAGCCTTTCTGGAGAAAGAAGGGACAGAGATTCCTGTCCAGGGAGATGTAGGCTAAAGTCCTGAAACCCGAACTGGCATTCCCAGAGCAGACCATGGAGAAGGTCAAAGGTGCAGTTACTCCAAAATTGATAGTAATACTACTACTAAGAAGTAAAATATCTAAAATTTCTACCCAACAAATGTAATGGTTTTATACCAAGCCTAGTTGCTACAGTGGCAGTTGTCATTACTGGCACTACCATGAGGGATGGCTTTTGAAAAGTTTCACCGACAGAATGCAGTATACACTTCAAATGCCCCAAGAACAAGCCATAATAGAGATTAAATATAGTGTTTCAAGGTTGAGAGTCTACCTTCCACCAACCGTGGGAAAAGACATTGTTTACAAGTATTTACTACAGCTTCTTTAAGAACTTGGAAGACTAATAAACTGGCTTCTCCTGGTCGAAGCATCAAGGTTACAGGAGTGATAAGAAAATATGGTTATTTACGTGGATGAACATGTCAAAATATCAAATACTAGTAACAGCAATGGACTGATATTCTATCTTTTCCTGACAGAGCCAATCAAATTCAAACCTAAAGACAATTTCTCATCTAACAACATTCAGTGAAAAGTGCAGTGACCTTCCACAGTAATTCTCAGTGGCTGGTTAGATCAGCTTCCTTTAATGATTTAACTTTAAAATGCTAGCATTGTATTTATAACCTGTTTGGGTTCTGTGCTTCCTTTAATGGTTACTTGTTGTCCACCAATGGCACTGGCCACTAAGCAGAGACATCTCTGGGCTGATTTACAAAACCTATTCTGCTTCAGTGGATTTGTATCCGGTCTTAATGCCATCCTGGAAACCTTATAAACTACAGAATAGAGATAATACAGAAAGCCATCCATAATAATGCCTTCTGATGCTGTTTATTACACAGGCAGCTAAAACAGTTCTCCAAAGGCCTTAGCTTGTCTGATGAAACCTTTTATTTGTTCTCTGAACAAGTCTGCATTCTTGGGTTAGCATTTAAAGGGAATCCTTTCATGAGAACTACTGAAAAACCATTTATAACATCTTGGAAAATTCAGCATGACTTTTCCCTTCAACTCAGACTTCGTCATCATCCAGTTTTTACACCATTTTCTCATGCAGCTTTACTTAAAACAAAAACTATCAGTTTGCCTTCTCTGCTCCCTCAAAGATGTCCCCCATATCACATACTCCCATTTGCTATGCCACACAAACACACATGGACTGGACCGAGTTCCTCCACTACACAGTACAAGGGTCTCCTGCATTCTCCTTCTCCAAGCAAGAGGGGGTTCTAGGAACAGGCAGCTCTTTTTCCTTCCCATCCTCCTCCTAGTAAGGATAAAGGGAGTGACTGAGTACAGCTGGGTCCTCTTCCTCTTACTTGTTTACAACCTCCTTCGGAAGCTAACTGAAGATGATGGGGAGGATTGAAAGGGCAGAAGCACAGCATCAGTTTCACCACTCAGACGGGGAGAGAAAGAATATTTTTTTTTTATCACCATCAAACTTCTCTCCCCTTTTTAGGCAAATTATTCTTGTCTATGGTGAGTAGACAAGAGCACAAGCCTATAGAAAAACCCCATGCATGTGATCTCACATTCACATGTGTATGTCACATTCGTCCCCTTCCCCCACAACATTTTTTTGCATGGGCTGCAGAGAAATACTCTCAATAGGCAAAAATACAGTTTCCATTAGAATGGATTTTTAAAAGATTCATACAAATATATTAGTTAACAGTGTTGCTTTAAATTGAATTTGGTCTGTAAGTAATAATTATAATTAAGATTACCAAAAAGTATTCAAATGTAACATAACATTTAGTAATATGAGTAGGTGATCAGAAAAAAAATGCGATGGCCTTATTTTTTGTAAGTTTTAATCTGACCATGTGACCTTACCCTGACCTACTGTAGCTCCCAACGTAGCAACATCAATAAAAATGAAAACCAAAACATATACCCTTGGTTACTGTAAAACCTCAAACCTATATAATACACATGGGTTTCTGTCTCTCTCAGAATACCTATTCAGACTGGTCTGAGTAGAGCCACAGATTTGCTGCAGATTATTTTTCTCTTTTCTTTACAACCATTTCAATGCTCCAATACAACAAGACACAAACTGTGGGATTGGAACACATGGCATTTATCTGATAAAACGTATGTCTACACTGCGATTAAAAACCTGTGGCTGACCTGTGCCAGCAGACTCAGGTTTCTGGGGCTTGGGCTAAAGAGCTGTTTAATTGCGACATAGATGATTGGGCTTGTGCTGGCTCCCTGGTAGGTGCGAGAGTCCCAGAACTTGGGCTGCAGCTTGAGCATCTACACGGTAGTTAAATAGCCCCTTAGACTGAGTCAGCTGGCACAGGCCAGCTGTGGGTGTCTAACTGCAGTGTAGACATACCCAAAGTAAGTACTTCTGAAATACAGAGCTGTCACCTCTTCTATAATCTCAGATGTCACCACTTAGAAGACAGCTATGAAAGTTGGGGGAAACTATTTCACTTTGTCTACATGTTGAGAGAGACTAAACAATTTTTATGAAAATGTTCAGTTCTTGAAGAGATTATAGACAGGAGTTAAATCAGCAGGACTTCAGACGGCAAATTCAGATGTGTCCTGCAGATAATTAGGAGGAAGTCTACCATCCAGTTGTTGTCCCATTTGACCTGATGAGAAGATTATGCACTAGGGAACATATCTGCTTGGGGCCTGGCGAATATTTGTGAGGGCCCGGTAGCAAGGTTGAAGCAAGTGGGCGTGGTTGTCTCTGCTTATAGCCCTGCTTTCCTTCTTAAACAGGCCCTGGCACAGCCAAGACCTGGACTGGCCGTTGAGTTCTGAAGTGCTTCCTTGAAGGTGCTGGGGCACAGAGGTCCAGGGACTTGAGGGTGGCTCTAGAATCTTTCAGACCATGGAGCTTCGCATCCATCTGCTCTGAGAAGAGGGAAACTCCCTCGAACCGAAGGTCCAAAAGGGACTGTTGAACCTCAAAGATAGGCCTGAGGACTGGCACCAGGAGCATCTTTACATGACTACTGCTGATGCCATAATTCTGGCAGCTGCATCCACAGGTGTCAAGGGCAGCTTGCAGGGAAGCCCTGGCTATAGCCTTCCCTTCCTCCACCAAAGCAGAGAATCTCTGTTTGGACTCCTGGGGCAGCGAGTTTTTCAATTTTGAAATGGATCCCAGATGTTAGAGTCATACCTCCCGAGCAATGCCTACTCGCTGGAGATGCGGAGGGGCAAACCACAAGTAGAATAAACTTTTCTACCAAAAAGGTCTAGTTTCTTTGAATCCTTCGCCTTGGGGGGTCACACCTTGCAGCCCCTGCCTGTCTCTTTTGTTGGCCGCAAAGACCACAAAGAGACCCAGGAGGGGGATGGGAATATAAGTACTCATACCACATGGTGGGAACAAAGTACTTCTTCTCTGCCCTTTGAAGTGGGAGGCATCTGCCATAAGGTTTTGATTGAACCGATACTGGCCTCATTGAGGGGTAGGGCCACCCTCAACAGGGTCACTGCGGCCAAGGTGTTGACCAGGCTGTGGGAGGAGTCTTTCAGTACCTCCACTTCCAGCCCTAGGTTTGAGGCCACTCTCTTCAATAGATCCTGGTGAGCTTTGAAGTCTTCTTGAGGTGTCGAGCCACCCATACCTGACACTGCCTTCTCTCGGGAGGAGATGGTCTGCACTAGCAGGGGGCCCTCCTCCTCTTCTTCTGCACTGACCAGATCCTGTAGTTCCAGGTCTTGAGTATCGGTACCGGGCTCAGTACTGGTTTCCAGGCTGGATGCTGGTCAGTGTGACAGAGGAGCTCTTCCCTCGGAAATCTCCGAGCAGAGGAGTGGCTTCTGTTAACAAAAGGCCAATTCAAGACTCTCAACCTGGGACATCTTAATATCTTTAAAGTCATTAGCAAAGTCAGTTACAGCAAAAGAATCACTAAAAAAAAGCACTGATTAAGAAAATAGTAATGAAAATTAGAACACAGCTTTTTTTGGTTAGGAACTCTGTGAGACACTAAAATATTTACAGAAATAAGATGGGTACAGAAGTAGTTAGTTTAGGTTACAAGACATACACTGTGTAGTGCTCCAAAAGCAAGTATCTTGCTTTCTCACAGATTACATTTTCAGGATTTGATGTCATGACAAGTAAGTGGAAATGTTAG